GGCGGCAGCTCCAGACTTGCGGCCCGCGCTGCCTTCCCATTGGCTGGAGGCCCGCGCTGCCCTCCCATTGGCTGGTGGCCAGAGCTGCCTTCCCATTGGCTGACGGCCCGCGCTGTCTTCCCATTGGATGGCTGACCATTGGCTGGCGGCTGCCAGGCCACACCCCACCTAGGCGGGGCCTCGTGCGGCGGCCATCTTGGTGGGCGTGGAGTTGGCGGTTAGCAGGGCATCATCTACGAGGAAAGGGCAGCATCCCTAATGCATTGTTCCTGCAAACAGGACGCACAGCCGGCCATGAAGACACAACCTGACAAACCCAAACCCTAAAAGCCGCGCGCGGCGTCCTGCGGACCATGGAGAAATCAGCCCGCGGAGCGCTGCCCGGTACGACCTGCAATGACGGACGTGGTTGGGGTCCCCTCCGCCCAAGACGGTAGTGAGACGGCCAGTGACACCAAGGAACTAAATGCTTGATGTCGCTTGACTTTACATTTCAGTGGCCACACGTGCCCGGCTCCGGAGTGGACAGCACAGCGCCCTCCTCTGTCCGCAAGCACAGGTCAGACTCCAGAGTAGGGCGCCCTCCCCAGGCGCGGAGCCCCACTGCAGTCTGGTGGCTGGTGCCTTTCCCATTTACGTTGTGCAAAGCTGAAGTTCGTCCGTGTTCCTTGCTGTATGAATACAGGATTTGCATTTAATATTTGTATATGCTTATGTTTTATTTTCTGGATACTGTAGTATGATGTTGTGACATCTTAAAAGGCCTTCCTTTCTGGCTGGGGAGAGACCGCCAGTTCTTCGAGGCAGCAAAGGGCCTGGCGGGCGGGCATGCCTGTGATCTGCAAACTGACCAGTCTAGAGCCACACCTGCTCCACTTGGCCCCAGACCCAGGAGGCAACAGTCCTCCCATCGCGGGGCCAGGTGCCAGGCATCTTGGAACCGCTGCTACAGCCCAAAGACCCCGAAATTATTCAAACTAGCTAATCCTGACTGTTCACCCTGCCCAGCCTTGCCTTTCCCGTGGAAACGCCAAAAGGCACTGACCTAAACCTTCCCCTCGTTCCTGTCTTCTGCCCCCTGGCCACCCTGGTGCTGCCCCATGTGGCTCTAAGACTCGTGAACGTAATAAACTGCCCCCACCCCACCCCGAGCCTCTTGTGACCATCTCATAAAAGCATGCACAACATTTTCTAAAAGTTAAAGTGAGGGCAGCTTAGGGGTAGAAGGGTTGAGGCCTCCAAGCCCAATTCACGCCTCACCTGGGACTGGGGAGCCAGCCCTGGACCGAGGGCCGAGGGCTTCATTGATGAGCCACCACTGGGCGGGCTGGCTGGCTCACTCGGGCCGAGAACAAACCAGAAGGCCCATCAGGTAGTGCCACAGGCTTTCTCATCACCTCAAAAGGAAAAAGCTCTTTAATTTGTTGCGACAGATTTTTACCAGTCGTAAGTTCTATGCACACGTGAAAAGACAGGTGAGAGCGTGTTGGAGGGCCGAGGCCTCTGGCCCTTCTGAAGGTGAATTAGAAGCAGTCCAGTGTCCTGAGTAGGAAAACCCCCAGTTCTTCCCGCCTGTGTGGGTCTTTCTTCCGTGTCTCCTTAACTTTCACACGGAACACTTCACTCCTGCCACTTCTGGTCACCAAATATGTGGAGGTTTTCCCCTTAACAAGCAATTCTGACACCAGCCAGGTGCCCTACCATTGAACTCAGTTCTAACACTGTTTACACGGAGACAGATCCCACTGGTTAAGGGCTCAGTCCCATAAGACGGCCCCCACTTCAGAGGCCAATTCTAAGTCTTTTTTTAAAATATATTTTATTGATTTTTTACAGAGAGGAAGGGAGAGGAATAGAGAGTTAGAAACATCAATCAGCTGCCTCCTGCACCCTCCCCACTGGGGATGTGCCCGAAACCAAGGTACATGCCCTTGACTGGAATCGAACCTGGGACCCTTGAGTCTGTAGGCCGACGCTCTATCCACTGAGCCAAACCGGTCAGGGCCAATTCTAAGTCTTGTGTCCCCAGGTTACCCACAACTTCTGCCTGATTTGGCAACAAATTGGGGAGTCCCACGACCCCTTCCTCGGATTCAATTAATTTGCTAGAGTGACTCACATAATTCAAGGAAACACGTTTACCAATTTTTTAAACGATAGAGGTGACCGGCCAGATGAAGATACACAGGTCAAGGTCCAGGAGGGTCCCAAGTGCCACAGAGCTGAGATGGGTCACCCCTCGGGGTTGGACATGTCCCCCCAAATGGAAGCTTCCCACCCCAGAGCACAGGACAGGGTGGAGAGCATACTGCCCTCAGTGTAAAAAGGGGACCTGTGAGTTTGTAAGAAGTAGACCACAAAAGACCAGTGACAGGGACTGTGTCTGGGGCCAGTGTGCACACATCAAACCATGTCAAATCAGCCAACACAGATGGGTAGTGACTTCTATAATTCCACAGAGATGTCGGCTGTGATGGGAACAGGCATGACTGCTGGCTGTGAGGGAGGCATGGGGCACAGACAGGTCCTTAGGGCTGTGCACTGGAAAGTGTACCACTCACGTTTAGCCACCCTGCACTCCCTGTTCAAAACAGACATTCGGACTTTGTAAATGACCTCCAATGTCTTCAATGGGAAGAACACCGTATCCTCCGTATTTTCTCCACTCCCTCCCCATCAGGAACTCCAGGGTGAGCAGCCCCCCTCTCCCACTCGTGCCCACACAGGACGCCCCTCGTCATCCTGGCCGAGCTCTGGAACCTGTGTCTCGTCCTGTCCGGTGCTCTGTGTCTCCTCTCCCTCTTCACCTTCTCTACCACCCGCCTGGAAACGTTCCCTGGGAGCTGTTCTGGGCTCCCATTCAGACATCGAACACGGCCTGGCTTTATTAGCATCCCTTGGGATTCATGTCCTTTATCATTATCCCAAAATAAACCTAAAGCACAAAAGCTCGGCCTCTCACATTTCAGCTTTTCCTCCCGGACCCCTGAACCATGCCTGGCTGTAAGGAGCCAGACAAAGAGGGCATTCAAGGGCCTCTGAGCCATGGCAACAGGGGCCTGGCCACTCACTCTGCTTGGATCCCTTGGGGGAAGCCGACCTGTTTTTTTGATCTGAAGTGGAATCAGCGAGGGGACGAGAGAGAACCTTGGCACCCCACTCTCCACAGCTGAAGCCGTCTGCCTGCATCTAGGGGAGTCCACGGGCTCAAATTGTCTTTGATCTTAAACCCAATTGCCCATGTACTGACTCACTCTGACCTTTGTCTCAATACACACAGTGCCCTCACTATGCCACCTTGCACGCTGGAGCCCTGCATTCCCCTCCTAGAATCCTGTAACTGCCGGTCCACAGCGCACCTGGGATCCAGCCCAATTGGTCCTTTTGGCATCCAGGAGCCACCAAACACCAAACACAGAGCATGGGAAAAACCCCCAGTGGGTTCCTTCACATGGAGCACCTGTCGCTCTCCCCCAGCCCTCGGGAAGGTACTCCGTGTGCTGTTTCCCCC